TGTGTGTGTGTGTGTGTGTGTGTGTGTGTGTGTGCATGCTTTCAAGGGTGTGCCTGTGATGTTTATACACTGAAGTCACACCCATCATCACACGTTAGCTGTTGCTGTAGTTTCAGAAATCTACTCTTCACATCTGGTTTGATCTTCACAGCGCGCTCAGCGAATTACCATGGATTTTTCCCCTCTGCACACGTATACTCCTCCTCACTGTACTCCAGATAACACGGGATATACCTATTCACTCAGGTGAGATCACTGTGAGAATGAAGAAACAATTACTGGGTGGAACTACAGTGCACTTCACAAATTTGTTCTGTCTATAACGCATCTCACTTCTAGTAGACCGTACAAAGATTTGTGTAACCGGTCACGAACTTCTGACATTCCGTGTCAGGTTAAACCTGTTTGTTGCTCAAGTCTTGTGAGCTTGTGGTTGTAGACAAAGAACTTCACTAGTTCTACCTGGAAGACGTTAAAATCTGTGTTTGTGGTCCATTTTTAATCATTATTCAGCAGTTATATTCAAGTAGAGTATTATTTCTGTGGCAATGTTGGATGACAGCATGCAGGTGTGGTGCTTCAGCTGTCACAGTTGTTGACCTCAGGCGAGTTATGAAGTTACACTGAATTAATGGCTAGGTAACGTGAATTTGTGTAATAATACCCTTGGTTGTGAATGTATTTTAGATGGTTTGCAGAAAATAGTGTGCTAAGCAGAAAGAGTGCAGGTGTGTTGACGTTGGTATGCAGATAACCATTTGTACCCCACTCATTGCACTGACTGATACCACTTTTCCACCGAAATCATGCAGGTTCTTGTGTCGGAGCTGGTGCTCGCCTCGGGTCTGTGAACCAGGCGTAGCAAGAGTTTGAGTGGATCTGAAAAGTAATGGGAGTAGAAGTTTGGGAACCGCTATTTGAAATGATCGAACAAAAAGTGGTCAGTTGAGTTCGAGTTTGAATAGTCTTTACACATTACAAAATTACAAATGTCAAAACTGAAGTGAGAAAAAGCTAATTTGTGTGATGTGTAATTATTTTTATTTTTTTAAATAAAAGTTCACTTAACTTCTTGACTAAACCTTTATTTACTTTGTTTAATTTTAATTGTATTTATTTATAGTAATAATAATAATATGATTTAAGGTTTCAGTTGTCTAGATAGTGTTGTTATTGTTAACTAAACTGTTAAAATAATTTTTAGTAAAATAAAAATGTTAGACATAAAACTTAAAAAAAACTTTAGAAAAGTTGCCTTGGTATCTACTGTACATAAATGAGATTAAAGTTGAAGTAGATTAAATTATGGCTCGCCCCAAATTTTCTCTCCCTAAATGAAGACAAGACCGAAGTAATTGTTTTTGGTTCTAATGAGAATTCTCAGTATATACGCCCTGATTTGGACAGTTTATCCGTTTTTAGATCTTCACAGGTGCGGAACCTAGGTGTTCTTGTCGACCAGCATTTAAAATTTGATAAACATCTCCTCCGTTATCGGATCCAGTTTTTATCAACTTCATCTACTGTCTAAAATCAGAGACTTTCTCACCCTAGAAATGGCTGTTCATGCGTTTGTTACATCTCGACTAGATTACTTTATCCGTTTTTAGATCTTCACAGGTGCGGAACCTAGGTGTTCTTGTCGACCAGCATTTAAAATTTGATAAACATCTCCTCCGTTATCGGATCCAGTTTTTATCAACTTCATCTACTGTCTAAAATCAGAGACTTTCTCACCCTAGAAATGGCTGTTCATGCGTTTGTTACATCTCGACTAGATTACTGCAAT